TTAAAGATCTGGCCAGATCTAATCCGTTTTTCCCGGGATGCTAGTATATATTCGATATATTTTTCGGCGAATTTTCTTATAAGCATATATCCTTGAATATGTACTAGGATATATTCCCAGCATATATTCTAGGATACAGAATTTTTCCGTGGGGGAACATTGAGCAATTGCTTATTCATATTAATATGAAATATTCGATCATTATTGTACTATAAAAAGTTTAATAATTAATTTTTTTTTTTAAACCCGTTCCTGCCTTTACGGTCATTTTTTCTCTGCTAGTATAAATTTAATTCAAGTGGATGGTAATATTCCATCATCACTAACAATTTGGGACAGATCCTGCCTGGAGCGTTAGGTCGATGGGTAACCATCGAACTTGAACACTAGTTAGCTAGTGAATGCTAGTATCTGTTCGACTTAATTTTTAAGTATTAACGATGGAAAGCCACTGAGAATGAAGAGCAACTTTTGAAAAAGTCCATGAAAAATTAACCAAGCCAGGAATCAAACCTGGCTCCATTACCCATCGACCTAACGCTCCAGGGACGATCTGTCCCAAATTGTTAATGATGATGAAATATTACCATCCACTTGAATTAAATTTATACTAGCAGAGAAAAAATGACCTTAAAGGCAGGAACGGGTTTAAAAAAGAATTATAGTATCACGGTCGGAAAAATTAGTAGAAGTTAAAAATTTAATAATTAAATAACATTTTTATCATTATTTTAAATCTAACAATAACAAAAAAACCTAATTTTTATTGTCTGTTAAATATTTGATAAGTGTTATCAAGCTTAGAGCGTAAAATTGTAATGAGTCATATTTTTAGAACAATTACTCAGATTGTAGGAATGAAGTGACAAATACATTTGATATCGGCTGGAATAAGGTTGATTACAAAATTAATTAGATAAATTTAATGATGACTTCTAGTAAATAAATTTCTATAAAAACGCGTATAATTAAAATTATTTTAAGTTAATTTTATCTTATGTAAAATTTGTGCTTAGCTTATTTGAGGATATTTGTTCCACATTTTAATAGAAATACCATCATGTCTTGGACTTGGATAACAATTTTCCTCTCAACACTTCTTATTCACGGTAAGTAAAATGATAATCATAACCCGAGAAAAAATTTTTCTATATAATCATATATAATTGTATATAATCATATATGATTATATACAATTATATATGATTATATAGAAAAATTTTTTCTCGGGTTATGATTATCATTTTACTTACCGTGAATAAGAAGTGTTGAGAGGAAAATTGTTATCCAAGTCCAAGACATGATGGTATTTCTATTAAAATGTGGAACAAATATCCTCAAATAAGCTAAGCACAAATTTTACATAAGATAAAATTAACTTAAAATAATTTTAATTATACGCGTTTTTATAGAAATTTATTTACTAGAAGTCATCATTAAATTTATCTAATTAATTTTGTAATCAACCTTATTCCAGCCGATATCAAATGTATTTGTCACTTCATTCCTACAATCTGAGTAATTGTTCTAAAAATATGACTCATTACAATTTTACGCTCTAAGCTTGATAACACTTATCAAATATTTAACAGACAATAAAAATTAGGTTTTTTTGTTATTGTTAGATTTAAAATAATGATAAAAATGTTATTTAATTATTAAATTTTTAACTTCTACTAATTTTTCCGACCGTGATACTATAATTCTTTTTTAAACCCGTTCCTGCCTTTAAGGTCATTTTTTCTCTGCTAGTATAAATTTAATTCAAGTGGATGGTAATATTTCATCATCATTAACAATTTGGGACAGATCGTCCCTGGAGCGTTAGGTCGATGGGTAAAATTGTATATGAGGTTATTTATAATCATATATAATTATATATGACTATATATGGAGCAATATACAGCTGTGCAAGATTATACATAGTCCCATATTTAATTATATATAAGTATATATAATTATATATGCTTATATATAATTAACACATATATAAAAATTTCTTCTCGGATATAATCATACTTGGCTGTTATAACCCCATGTATAATCCATATATAGGTCTATATATGATCAGATCTGATTATATATGAATAAGTCTTTATATAATTAGATCTAATCAGACTTGTATAGTTAGATGTGATCAAAATTTTTTTTTGATAATCACAAAAAGTGCAAAATGGTGTTCATAATTACGTTTAAATAATTCTGAAATACAAATTTTTTACATTTCCTATGAAAAGTTTTGGTCTGCTCTATTACTACCTAATAGTAAAATCATTATTTATTTTATGAATAGTTTATTAAAATAAATTAATTATGAACTATGACTATCCAAATATATTATAAAATCAATTTTTATATTATATTTAAGATAAACTCATATGATGCATTAAGTAGATCATAGAATCATTATTGTCTAAAATAGCAGCATAGCAGATAGAAACTTTAAGACGCACGGAGATCACCAAAGTTAAGCCGCATTGAGTAGGGTTAGTAGTTGGATGGGTGACCGCTGGTGTTATAGCAGTAAAATTATATACTGACATTTTTTTTTGCATTTTAATTATTTTTAGAGAATCGCGTAGGACCATATTAAATACTCTATCCGTAAAATTAACCCAATAATTAATTAGATGTGATAAATATATAATTAAACATTGTTATATATAATTATATATAGTTATATATAATTATATATAGTTATATATGATTATATATAATTATATATGATTATATTTGGCCATTTTTCATTATTAATCATATATAACCAATTTATATATAAATATATATAATTATATATAAATATTTTTTCTCGGGAATATACCAAGTATTTTCCAATTTATGACGATTCAATAAATTTTTAAAAGAATTAAATTCAAGTAAATTAAGAACAATAAAGATGAATACACATTCTTAATTCAGTAAAATTATCAAAATCGAAAAAAAAAATAAAAATACACAATTTCATTTAAATTTTTTATGGTATAATTAGAGATGCGTAATGAACGTCATTTTTATTTTTGGTCAGGACACGGTCATAAGACCGTCCTGTGACCGTCACATGATTTTAAAAAATTTCTGTAATGCTGAAATGACCGTCACGTTTCAAACGGTCACAAATTTCGTCATTTGCATCTATATAGACGTTTTTGACAGAATTTTTTAATAAATTATTATTTGAAAATTGATGCAAAATTTACGGTCACATTAAAAACCGTCATGAATTTGGTCATTTGCATCTATATAGGCGTTTGTGACGAAAATTTTTAATTATAATTTATTCTCAAATAAAAACTATAAAATAAATCGATCATTGTATTACCAAAGTTTACCGAGATATTTCAGTTTTAGCTTATACAGGCTTATACAGGTAATCATTTTAAAGTCAAACAAAAATAATTTTTTTATGTACCATTTAAGGTAGTACCCTCGCGACATATAGTGCGAGTAAATTTAGGTATAGTTTAGGATATTTTTGTCTTTCTCACTTGCTATTCCTTACTCACTTCTACTCATGGTTATTTTTGAATAATACAGTTATTTTTTAATAATATTTAAAAATCTAGATGGTAAAAATCAATGAAAGTTTGAAAAAAACAAATAATAGCTGTTTTTAAATAGTAGTTTAGTTTTTTATGAAAATCTTAAAAAAAGTTTCTTATTTATAATAAAATATACGAGTAAAATTTTCGGTATCCCGTATATCACAGTGCATAACCTTCTCTAAAAATTCAAACTTTTAAATTAAATATCTCTGAAACTAGATGGTCAAAAAATTTCAATTTGCGTCAATCGATGCAGAATTATATGAATATTAATCTGCCAAAATTTAAAAAAATTCCTAAGAAAACGCCTCTGACGAGGGTGCTACCTTATAAATTGAATTTTAATGATTTAAAAATATTGAGTAATTGAAATACATCTGTGCTTTTTTGGGTTTGCTCTTTGAGCTCAAAATGTCAAAAACTGTGCTTTAAGCTTGAAAAATTCAAATATTAACCAAAAAGCACATTTTAAGGTGCTCAAAATGCAAACTTAGCGGGAAGTTCTAACAGGGTTTGCCTGCGCGGTCAACTGATTTCCAGATTTTTTTAATTATGTAGGAACAATTTTTTTATGATATTTAAATAAACTGTATTTAACTATATAATGCGTTATAATAAAACTTTCAATTCCTTTTCAAAACCTTTTTTTCTATTATTAGTGTCGTTTTTTCTACAAACGTAGAATAACGCGAAAAGTAAAATTTTTAAAAAGATTTTTATCTTTTTACGCCAAAGAAGTATAACTTCTCACGTGCGTATACATAAGTACACACAAATTTTTTTTTCCGTGTATTGTTTGCTCTCTAAGTTGACATTTGATAAATCTAGTACTGTTAATCAACGAAAATTATAATAATTTTTAATCGGTATTTATTTAAAAGACATTATTATTATTTGCCACCTTTACATTAGGTCTAATCTGTACTATATATATGTATGTTAAATTTTTAGTAATTTATTGACTCATCACGATATCTCTGAAGGCTTATAAAATTTAAATTCGGCAGGAATATTTCTTTTATCACGTAGTTATCAGGTAAAAACAAATTTTATGTCCATCTTCAAAAGGTACTACAGAGGTGTTGATTATAAAAAAATTTAAATTTTAAAGCCATAGCTTCTGCAGATATTTTCTAATCATATAGGAATTGACTAAACTAATTTTTACAAAATTCAACTTTCAAACGAAAACTATGAAGACGTTTATTGAAAAAAATATTTTTCAATTTTTCTTAGTGGGAAGTTAAAAAATTTAATACTTAAAGTTATAACCCTTGCACATTGAAGGTTATTAATGTTACTGAGAATATTAGCTACAATAGTTACATAAATAAAAGATAGGTCAAAATTGTATTGAATTTTGAATCTGTGCTGAATATTTTATATAATATTATATAAATTTTAAGTTTAGATAACTTTAAAAATACATAAACAAAAATTAAATGATTTGGTCGATAATTGGATGACAGATTTATAACACTGGTTATAGCACAACTCGATGGAATAGAAGGAAAAACAGGCTTCAAAACTGGCAATCAAGACTGGGGCCATGTGGAAGTGCGACCCGGTGCCCACATGTTTTGGTGGCTTTATTACGCAAATCCTCCAAGTAAGTCACCCTTCTTCAATCCTTTCCGCAAGCCACTTTTGATTTGGCTTCAAGGGGGTCCTGGAGCTCCTTCAAGTGCTTACGGCAATTTTGAAGAAATTGGACCGCTGGATGTCAATTTGGAAAAACGGAACTATAGTTGGGTCAATGATTACAATGTTTTATTTATTGATAGTCCAGTGGGCACCGGGTTTAGTTACGTTGATGATGATTCGAAATTACCAACTGACAACCAGAACATAAGCTATGATCTTATACGTTTCATAAAAGTATTTTTGGAAAAAATTCCTTCATTTCAAGAGGTTCCGACTTATATTTTGTCTGAATCGTACGGTGGAAAAATGGCAACACATTTTGCGCTCTATTGGAGTATGGTAATAATAATACTTTATTTTCAAACACACTATTTATAATAATTACTCAATTACATCAGTAGTATGCATCTACATAGTGTCAAAATCAAAAAATTTATAACTTTCGACAAAATCTAAATTTTTATTAGTAAATTTCAAACGATATTTCAATGATATTATATTTAATAGTAATAATAATAATATTTTATTTTTTATTTTTTGATAGGTCCAAAAAAAAGGAATGATTAAAAGTAACCTTAAAGGTGTTGGTCTAGGCGATTCCTTCATTTCTCCAGTTGATATTGTTGTCTCTTATGCTCCACATTTATACTTCATGGTATTTTGTCCATCTGTATTTATTATTATTTTTTATATCAAAATTTTTAACAAGATTTCCTATTTTTCAGGGGATGGTTGGTTACGATTGCTATGGAAGTATCAAAGATTCCGCAAACACTGTGAAAAATGACATTGATTCTGAAAAATGGACACAAGCTTACAAAAAATTCTTAAACACAATTCAAGTTATTAGAAAATGTACAAATGGGATTGATTTCTACAATATACTAGAAAAAACAACACCGTTGCGTCTTTCAAGAAGTCAATATAGATCTGACAGCCGAGAGCAGTTAAAACAGTCTGATTTTGACCAAAAATTAACTACTCTTATGAATGGTGAAGTCAAAAAAGCCCTCGGACTCAACCAACCATTTTATATACGTAATAATAAAATTAAAACACAGTTGGCTAAAGACTACATGAAACCTGTGACTGATATCGGTAAGCTCATCGAGTTTTTATTTTTATTGCTTTAACATTGCCAAAACTACTTAGAGACCATTTATGGTTTTTTAAATTGTTATTTAAATTATTTCAGTTGAACGAATACTCAATGAAACAAATCTTAAAGTCTTTGTATACAATGGGCAGTTGGATGTTGTAGTACCGACTGTTAGTACATACATGTGGGTGCAAAAACTCAATTGGAGTGGTGCAAAAGCGTGGAAAAATTCTGAGAGATCGTCATTGGTCATCGACAATAGCATTGAAGGCTATGTACAAGGCTACAAAAATTTCAAGATGTTTTGGATTAATAGGGCTGGGCACATGGTATATTTTCCAATAATCTCTTTACCATCTTCTTGATGATTTTATTAAATTTGCTATTTTATTTTAATTTTTTTTTTTTTAGACACCAAAAGATAATTACTACGCAATGAATGCTATATTGTATCTGTTGACTTCAGTACCTAAACATAATTTTTGGAATTCCAACCACTGAAATCAGATTCGAATTTAAAAAGGCTATAGCTTATTGTAAGGAATTCGAGCAGAAAAAAATAAGTACATAATTGAAGCAATAAATGCTCAAAAAAAGAAATTTTATAGTTTTTTAGCGAAAATTACTTGTTTTTAAGTTATTAGTGGAACAATAACAATTATTTAAAAATAATTTTTTTCTGTCAGTGAAAAAATATATATTAAAAACTGCAACCCGAATTTAACTTTTTATCCTCATAATATGTAATAAACAAAAATAAAGTTAAAAAAATAGATTTCTACAGTTTCAAAAAGTCTCTTTAAATTTGTGAAAATTTTTTTTATTTTGAACGCACAATTGCTCTATTTTTCAGGTATTATTGTCTATTATCTTGAAATAATATACAGAGCACCACCACAACACTGTAAAAAATTTCCATTACATTTTACTGTGAGTGCATTGTATTCCTGCATTATAACGAAACTGTACAGTTTTACTATTGAAGTCTGAGAAAGTTAAATTTTCAAGGGTCCATAATAATAATAATTTCATTAATAAAATGATTTTTAATTATTAAGATTTTGTTCTATAGCGAATACATAAAAAATTCATCAATTTAATGTAATTCAATGATTTTTACTAAGTTTCGAGTGAGAATGAAATCATTTATAAAAATATGTTTCTTGATTTGAGAATTAGATTATATTGAGTTAGAAACTTATATTTTTAAACTAAACATAGACAAATTTTGGAGCAAGAACTTAGAAATCAAGAAAATAAAAATTATTGAAAAACTAAATTTGGCTTTTTTCCTACAAGTTTACTTAGTTCAAGGATATTTTTCTTGAATAAAGTTAATTTTTTTTCTGTGTATATACATAAGTATACAAGCTAACAAAAAAGCATGTCAGTTAATGAATGAGTATAACTATATAATGATGATACCTATTTGTCAACACGTACTTGTTTTATTGACTCAAATATGTTAGTATCAATTATTTTGTCTTATTACCAATTAACGACTAAAAATTTTTAACGCTTTTGGTAAGACCGCTTATTGTGGAAAAATTTCTGTACATATAGCTGATACTAAATGTCATTAATTAAAAAAAATACCAAGTTAGTCGGTCGATCAGCGTTATCTATTGCATATCTATCTAGTTACCTTATATCGTATACCTCTGAAAATATCAAATAGTTGCATCATATTTTTTTTATAACTTTTGATGAAAAAATAACACAACAAAAACAGTTATATGATTTAATAATTGGTTTTAACAAATCATAAGTGTCGCAATACTCTACTCAAAAGTAAATTTTTTTAAAAAGTAAAGCCGTATTTTAGTACCATCATTCAACGAAGAAACTTGAATTTATTCTTAATCATGATTTGGATTGTGCTAGTTATTTTGCTGACACCTTCTTCATTATACGGTATATTATGAATTTATTATTATCATTGTTATTATTATGATGATTATTATTTTTGTTATCATTAAAATTTAGTAGTCGAATTGTAATGCAATTTTAAAGAATATAAAGCTTAAACTTATTAACAGCAATGAATATAGACGAAGTGGGAAAAAAAGGTTTTGGTCCAGGAAAACAAGATTGGGGATATGTGCTAGTGAGACCAGCTGCCCATATGTTTTGGTGGCTTTATTACGTCAATCCTCCAGCAATGAACTCATCAATACATTTCGATGTCTACACTAGACCTTTGATTATTTGGTTACAAGGTGGGTTGGGGGTCTCTGCTACTAGTTTTGGAAATTTCTACGAGTTAGGTCCACTTGATATTGACCTTAAGCCGAGAAATTACACGTGGGTCAGCGATTATAATATTTTATTCATTGATAATCCAGTGGGTACTGGGTTCAGTTTCGTTGACAATAACACGGCAATGGCAGAAAACAACACGCAGATAGCTCAGGATCTATTGGAATGTATAAAGAGTTTCTTAGAAAGTGTTCCTAAGTTTAAAAATGTCCCTACTTACATCGTAGCTGAATCCTACGGAGGAAAAATAGCTGTAGAGTTCGCCCTTCTTTGGTTTCGGGTATTCAGCTACATTAATTTACTATGCTACAGCATTAGTTATACGATGTAGTTGAAAGTAAGGTAAACTTAAAAATATGGCGAACGGAAAATAAGTGTTATCATATTGGCTTGTGAAAAACTTTTACTTTTTGTCCGCCGCATATTTAAGCTTGCCGTACCTTGAGCCACATTCTGTTATATTTGTTGATAATTTGATGTACAAAATATGTTTGTGTTTTTTCAGGCTCAAAGTACTACAAATATTACCAGTAAATTGAAAGGGATAGCTATAGGTGACTCACCTATTTCGTTTTCTAAAGTAGTTCGCTCAATACCTGCTTATCTTTTGAATATGGTATTATTAAATTTGACAAAATGACTCCTGAAAAAATTTTCTGATATAGCCTAATATGGATAATTTTTGTATCAAGCCATTAGCATAAGGAGTAAAAATGAAATAAATGCTATTGTGTAAAAAATCAAAAGCGAATTCGGAGTGAATATTCACTTTTGTTATTCGGAGTACCGGAGTGAAGAAATGAGACACTCCGCGCACGGAGTAATTCTCGAATTTTTTTTATGCGCAGTGACTTTAGAGTGAATGTGAATTTCAATCCAAAAAACATCCGAGTACAGAGTTTTTAGCTTAAAATAAATTTTTATTTAGCTAAAAAAGTTTTATAAATGTTAAATTTTTTTTGTCGTCGTTATAAAAAACATTCAAATTTTTGAAAAAACTTATTTTGTTGGTGTGAAGAAATAAGAATTTTGAAAATAATTGAAATTTTCAAAATCATCCAAAAGGGTTAAATTAATTAAAATTTTTTAAATGTGTACATACCGACGTTCTGATTAGCAAATTGTCTAACTCCATTCTAGAGAATCTTCCATTTGTAACGAAAAAACAATTGATTCAAATTTTAATATCACTTTAAGAAACCATTTAATACCATTAATGTCTAATAGAGGTATAATATTTTGGTTTGGATCATTCAAATAATTCATACTTGGACTATTGCTGTATCAAAATGTTAAAAAATCACCCTCTAAAAAATAAGGAGTTAGACCAGTTGCTAATTAGACCGTCGATACTTATTTTTAAATTTTTGAACGAAAAATAATTATTTTCTTATTTTTATTCAATAACAAAAATGAAGAATTCACTCTGGATGGAATAAATCAATCGAAAACTATCCACTCCGCATTTACTTCGCAAATTTTTTACAGTGTACACGTTTTTTTAACTAATTGTTAATAAGTTTACTAAAATTGTCGGGATTTAGTAAGTAAAGGTATGAAAAAAAAATTTCTAATCATGGAAAAATATTTCAACATCACTTTAACACCAAAAATAATTCAAAACACTAGTGCTGTTAATTTAACACCGCTTCAGTGTTAGAATTTAACGCTGAAAATTTGTACACTGCCTGGGCGAATACCGATTTTTTCACAGAATAGCAGAAAATTTTTTCACGGGGACATATATTTGTACATCTCACCCTCAATGCGTTAAATCAAATTTATTATTGCTTAGCTGCCTTGTGTAAAAATCTGAAAAAGGCCAGCCCTGCATGGCATCTCTGGAACTTCCCGGTATTTTTTAATTTAAAACGCTCAAAGAATTTCAGATTACATCATAAAGTTCAGTTGAATTTTTTTGAGAAATATCGTCAAAAAAATTTGGAAGAAAGGGTTTTTTTTTCACCCACTGAAAAAAAAATAAACTATGAATCAAGAGAAGAATTATTGAACCAAGAAAATAATTTTGAAAAGTTTCTCTGTTTTGAATCAAGACGAAAGATTTTTGAATAAAGTAAAATTGACCTAAATCTTAGTTTAATTAATCTTCAAAATTATTTACTCGATTCAAGTAAATTCTTTTTCTCTGCGTTTGGTGGCATTCGACGCAGTTTTTTAAGCTTCATAAAGAATTTTCAAGTTTAAATTGATAGAACGAAAAATTTCGGAGTAATTCCGAAAAAACACTTCATTTGGTTTTCTTTCGTCAACGATAACTTACGAACGAATTAACGGATTTAGACCGGTCTGGCGGTGATCGACGTGGTTTTTTGATGTTAAGAGCTAATCAGTTTTTTGAATCGATTGGTAAAGCCGTTTAAAAGTTATTCCAAAAAAACCACTTTTGAAAAAATTTTTTTTTGTAGTTTTTTTGCGATTTCTTAAAATCTACTAGTCCAAAATTTTTTGTTCTATCAATTTAAACTTGAAGATTCTTCATGAAGCTTAAAAAACTGCGTCGGACGCCACCAACCGCGTGAACATCGGTTTATTCATTCAAAAGTTATTGCGATTTGAAAATTCAAAAAAATAATGTTTCATCAAACTGCTATCAAACTTTTTGAGCTCGAAGAGCTCAAAAGCATACAAAAGCTATTTTTTGAGCTCGGAGAGCTCAAAATAACACACAAATTTGTATTTATGAGTTCGAAGAGCTCAAAAACGTCATAAGTGCAATTTCAAGCGTTTAACTGGTTTAAAAGTTATTCCAAAAAAACCACTTTTGAAAAAATTTTTTTTTGTAGTTTTTTTGCGATTTCTTAAAATCTACTAGTCCAAAATTTTTTGTTCTATCAATTTAAACTTGAAGATTCTTCATGAAGCTTAAAAAACTGCGTCGGACGCCACCAACCGCGTGAACATCGGTTTATTCATTCAAAAGTTATTGCGATTTGAAAATTCAAAAAATAATGTTTCATCAAACTGCTATCAAACTTTTGAGCTCGAAGAGCTCAAAAGCATACAAAAGCTATTTTTTGAGCTCGGAGAGCTCAAAATAACACACAAATTGTATTTATGAGTTCGAAGAGCTCAAAAACGTCATAAGTGCAATTTCAAGCGTTTAACTGTTTTCTTATTTTTTTTTCTGTGTACGTACAATCAAAAACTATAAAAATTACTGAGCAATAAGTGACTTAAACCGAGTAGCAATACGCAATTGAGGTGTACACTTTTATGTATCTCCCACTTATCTATAAATAACTAACAACGAATTATATTTCAATAGGGTTTGGTAGACAAAACTGATTTCCGTAAAATTAAGAGGTTTGGTGACAGAATAAAAACTGATGTAATCAGAAAGGAATGGGCTGACGCATATACAAATTATAAAAATATGTGGAACATAATTTATGATGTTACAGACAACATTGACGTTTATAATATTTTAACGCCTCAGAATACTAGCAAGGAGAGCTATTGTAGGTATAATTTCTCCCACACTCAACAACAACAACAACAAAAATCAATTAATGTTTCTAATATTATTCAAAAATTGATGGAAAATAACGTAAAAAAAGCACTTAATCTTTCAAGTACCTACAATTTGATGTCGAGTCTTGTAGTTGTTAAATTGACCAACGATTTTATGAAACCTGTTCATCATATTGGTAAAAAACAATAGTATATTTGTGTATTATTATAAGCTGTTCAAAAATTTAACGAATTCTTAACTATCTTCGATTATTTTTAGTTGAAAAACTACTAATGGAAACAGATCTTAAAATTTTTGTTTACACCGGCCAATTGGATATGGTAATTCCGCCATCTAGTACGCTTGCTTGGATGAGAAAACTAAAATGGAAAAACGCTTTATCATGGAGGACTGCACCGAGATTTACACTTATTATCAATAATGTGATTGAAGGGTTTGTTAAGGAATTTGAAAAATTGAAGTTGTTTTTGATTGTTCGAGCAGGACATCTGGTAAAATACATTTACAACTACTAGACTAAATTTTGAATTTATATATTTTTATATGAATACTTTAAAGCAATCGATAATCTCATTTAGGTATCACGTGACAACCCTTATGCTTTGAAGGCGATTATTAAAGATTTGACCACTGATTTACCAAAGGATTAACTTGACATCAACATATGTATCGCAGCCTTCTAAAAGTTTGTCTGCTACCTACTTTAATGTTTGCGAAGTAAGCGCTATTTCAAAAATGTGGCGACAGCATAGCTGACGTCATCTCAATCATTCAATGCTTTTTTTTGTAAATTGAAACAGTTTTTTCAAGAATAATATTCTTTTCAAAATATCACTATTATATTAAGCTCTCTTAGTTCCACAAATTTACTCGTGAATCCCTTTAAATAACAAGAAGAAATTTACGAATTCAATAAAGCAGTTTCGTATTATCAAACAATGCAATCTATAGTTTTCCTCAAATTTTTTTCATGGTTAGGATACACAGAAAATATCTTAAACCAAGATAATTTTTATCGCCAACTTAGTGATTTTGATTAAAAATTATTCTTTTTGTTTGTGCGAAGAATAGTTTAATAAATTATTTTATTGAATTTATTTATATTCATTCAAGATATTATTGACTTGTATCAAGAATATTAACAATCCTTTGATTTTTATAATGTTGTCTGCATCATAAAAAATAAATATCGGATATGTTTCAGAAAAGATTAAAGTAAAAAATTTGCTTTTTTTTATTAAAAAGATCTTTTTTGCTATATTTGTAACGATGAAAGTCGTTCTTGAATCAAGAATAAAAAATTATCAACGGAAAAGGAAATTATTTTTAGTTTAAAAACATTTTTTTTTTAATTTTCTGATAAAGAATTTGATTTTATTAATTGAAAAAAATACTTATTATTAAAGAACCATAATTTGACAAACTGAGAAAACGAGTTTGAAGACAAAATAATTCTCTTAAACCCAGTAGTTTTTCTACACTTAAAATTTTGTAAAAGTAGATAAACAACTTAAAATAAAATGACAAAATTCATCTAACAACAGAAGATATCTTACAATGTAATGAATACGAGAAGATTAAAAAATGTATAAGCTTTATTTATCTTTAATCTTCATAATTATTAAAAAATACTTTTTTACACGTAAATAATAATATTACAATATAAATACATTAATAAAATTATTATACATACAAACAATATTAATAAAATACAAAAAAATATCACAAACTATAAAAACTATAAAATTTTTCTAGATTATCATCACTAAAATAATTTAAAATCTTTTGACAACATGTGAATGGCAAAGTTTTGAAAAGAGTGAAAGCTTCCTCTGCAGACTTTTCCAACAGTTTACTCCTCTTGACAGCGTCATTAATTCGCTTTTTAAGAATATGAAAATAAGGAGGATATTTATCTTTATAATTGTCGATACACAATTCTCTGACATCTCTATTACAGGCATGGTGTATCATTCGATCCCACGGAGAAGTTAATAAATGCCAAAACGTTATATTACTAGCTCCTACTTTATCTTTCTTCATTGATTCAAGGCACAGATATATTTCGTGTTCTACAATTGTAACATTATCGAAATAGTTACTACGATTCCAAAAGTCATTGACCGGTTTTGAACGAACAGTCGCCAGCAATTCTTCTTTTACCGGCCGATTGCTGTAGTATCCTCTGATAATATATTTAACTAAACAGAATTCTATTTCAGCGTATATATGAGTAATTTTTCTCATAAATTCTTCATCATTAATTTGTTCTTTTGAGAACAAATTGATATTCAATTTAGCCGCTTCAACTATGCTATAATCAATGAAACTATAATCCAAATAATTACCCATGGCCAAATATTGAACAATACCTCTTTGTCCATAGGTGGCAGCAGTTTTCACAAATGTTAATTTGGTACCTATAGGCTTTAAAACTTCATTAGGATTAGCCCCAGCTTCTATAAGAAGTTCAAGTATTTCTACCTTTTCAGCTTCACGTTCTTCTAGCATATCTAGACTCAGACGCTCATTGAGATTCTTTGGATTGCAGATTAGATAGTGTAATGGTGACATACCTTCTTTATCGAAGACATCAATTCTGGCGCCTTTCTCCAATAACAGCTTCACTATTTCTGGATTATACTCTTCAATGGCTACCATCAATGGAGTTCTTAGGAATGATTTTGTTCTGCAGTGGATATTAGCTCCATAATCTATCAACAATTCAACGATCTCCACTTTTTGGTTGACTATGGCAACGTGTAGCAATGTTGGATTACCGAGAGACTTTATCTTTTTCGTAACTGAATGACTTTTGTCCATTGAAGTTTCAATAAATTTTTCACTTATCATACAATTCGCTTGAGCGCCGTAATATAAAAGTAGACTTGTAAGCACCACTGAATTACATGCTACTGCGTCGACAATTGGATAAGAATCACAGAGAGTCTTCGAATTGACGTTGGCATTATGCTTCAGTAGTAACTTTGCAAGCTCGAAATTTTTGTAAATACAAGCAATATTAAACACTGTACTTCCAGGACAATTAGATTTAGCGAGTTTTACCTCGATATCAGCTCCATATTTCAAAAGACATTTCGCTATTTCCGGTGTTGAATGAAATGCTGTCAAAATTAATGAAGTTATATTGTTGGGTGCAAAATCATTAACTTCAGCACCTTCTTTGACCAGTAATTCAACTATGTCGGTGTATCTTTGGCGGACCGCGTGGTGTAATGGAGAATATGATCCATTAGAATGTTTTTTATTTATTCGCGCACCTTTCTTTATTAATAATTTTGCGATAGATTTCTTTCTTAGTCCAATTGCCAGTTTCAATAAAATATAGCCTCCAAAAAGAAATGGGTTTTTACTTAGTGGTTTTTTCGCTGATGATTTTAACAATCTCCTCACTTCTTTAACGTCACCACAGTGAATCGCTTTTTTCAAATCCCTCGAAATAGTCGGCATCATTATTCCTTCTTCTGTTCAATAATTTAGCAAACTACTTATTATTTAAAATTGTTTACACTTGTAATGGAGACACTCGAAATTGTTTTTATGATTCTGTGAGGAATAATATTTACCTAACCTGGTGATTACGAGTGTACTGTCTAGCAGATTATTTTGAACTATTTAAAATGCTTGGTGAAGGCCAACTTATGTTTTCATGAACAACTTGCAGATCTACTGCCACATAAGAAACTAAACTGTTTTTCCCTCTATAATTACAAGTTTCAAACAAGTTCGAGACTATGAAGACTATACACTATGTATAGTCTCCATATCCGAGACTTTCATTTCATGTATTGTACAGTTTTAGTGATTCTACTTCGAAGATTTATGAATGAAGATATCATTTAAACTTTTTTTTTTCAGAATAACTCAATGTGAATAATCCATAATAACTCATTTAAGTAACAGATTAACTCATCGAACTAAATCTTTATTTGACAGAAAAAAAAACTTGATTAAAAAACAGTATTAGAAGTGATATCACTCCTTCTATTAGATTTTACTGTACTAAAATCGCATTTGAAGGAAAGTATAATTTAATAATTATACAAACAGTGATGCAGTAATTATATTATTGGGGTGTCAATTTGATATCAGTTTAAGCGCACGCGCAGACAAACTATGCTAGTCAGTCTTAGTACTCTTCGTACTCTTCTAGCTCAAAAGTCTAATATAAGTTTAAGAAAACACTATTCTTTAAATTTTAGAACGGGAATTACTTTTGAATGAATAAACCAATTTTCACGCGGTTCGTAGTATTCAACGCAGTTTTTCAAATTCTATGATTTACTTTTAAGGTAGTACTACCGTTACCACAAGTGTCAAATCCCAAAACCTAACCTTATTTGATTAACGTAGTAGATTTCCCTATACTAAATTACGTTGGAGAAAGAGAGACAGAGATAAATTTTGAATGTTTTTTATTAATAAATATTCTCATATTCTTGGAAACCATATTGATTGTTACTAAATATGTTCTAGATGTTATTTCCTCTCGTTGTGTTGATTTTTATAAGAATTTCAACGTCCAGTTTTGTGAAATAAAATAAAGTCTGTGATTTTCCATAAGGATCAATGATAAAAGCAAAAATATGTAGATATTAATATCTTTTTTTCAGGACTTGCTCGGCTTCCAAAAATTTTACTGCTTAATTATAATATTTTTCGTCCTAGGCGGACGTATGGGGGTTTTTACGTGCGCTAATAATATAAAATCACATAATGCATTTGCAAGTGATGAATTGAAAAACTGATAGTTTTCCATTTTCACCCTAGGCATTCCCACTTGGGTCCCACATGAATCCCAACTAGAAAAAATGTGCAAAAAATTTTTTATTTTCACGTTGGGTATTTCCATTTAGATCCCAATTAGAAAAAAACTTCTAAAAATTTTTTAATTTCACATTGGGCTTTCCCACTTTGGTCCCACATGAAACCCAACTGGAAAAAAATGCCAAAAATTTTTTATTTTCACGTTCGGTATTCCCATTTAGATCCCATATGAATCCCAACTAGAGAAATTGACAATAATTTATTTCGTTTTCAGTTAGGTTCTTCATTGGGTTCTCATTCGGATTTCCCTATTGGGCATGATCCATTGGAACCCAATGGGGGTCAGATGTATACCTTGGGTATTCCCAATATAATTTCTAGTCGGGTTAATGTAAGCCGAAGTGGTGTCAATTTACGATTATTCCCTCGTCGTTCTAATACTACGGAAGGTCAACGTCACATTACAACAGTAATGTGACGTTAAAATTTTGCCGGTAAAATTTTGTCGTTCTCAAGCTGATCAACATCATAAGCATGAAGACACGAACTTATGCTTTAGCACTATCCGTGATTTAGAAACAATAGCATCATTATTAGGACCGCAGCAAGTGTGTTTTCTATCACAAGATGATAAAGCTCGTGTCCCACTTGGTATTACTGCGGCTAAAAAGCAGGCTCCGATACTTATGCATGTTGACTACCTTGTCACTCTTCCTGATCACGATTGGGTAGTCGCTGAGAGTCATAAATTAATTCCTTCGGTCTATGCTGGAATTATTATACAACCCAATGGTGAAAGAAGACCCAATGCAGTGGGTTACTTTGGACCCACTTATATAGTGGATCCCAGGAAGGTTCTGGGTTCGAATCCTAGTCCGAGCTATCTAATAATTTTTTCTCGCGTATTCTATACACTCACATTAAGAAGTTCCTCGTCATAATCCTTTCTCAATCCTTTCCTATCAATTATCCTGTTACGTGAATGTTGGTACGCTTCACGTAATAATTATCCGTATCTCCTATTTTTTCCCGCTTCACAGCATTATTTATATATTCTATAAACTCACATTAAGAGGATCCTCTCAACAATACTTTCTCAATCCTTTTCTACCAATTATTCTGTTACGTGAATGTTGGAACGCTTCACGTATTAATTATCCGTAACTCCTATTCTTTCCTGCTTCACAGCATTATTTATATTTGTTGTCAGAACCTTCCGGAGACATGTCGGCTACTCTACCATTTGAGCTATCCGGTCTATACTAAATTTCCTTTCACTTATTCTATATACATTAAGCCACACCGTCCATCTTACGGCTAGCATTTTTAACAAATATAAATAATGCTGTGAAGCGGGAAAGAATAGGAGTTACGGATAATTATTACGGACCATAATTATAGATTAAATGAAAATTTAATAATTGATAATTATAAGTATATTTTTGTCTCAGAGTCACTTTTGTTTCATGGATCGATGAGTAATTCATTTCAATGATTCATCAAATTCAATTTTATTTTTTTGTCATATATATTAGTAGAAACTTGATTTAAAATAATCTTACTTCTGTTAAATACATACGAATTTTATTAAGATAAGTAAGCCAAGATGTCTGATCGTGAAATTTTATTTCATGAAAATTTAATGAAATGCCGTTCTTCAACAGTTAATACTCGTCATGCCCATTTAAAAAAGTTGCAAAGTATGAATATTGATATTAATAATTTAAATAATGACAATATTGTCGACATTTTAAGGCAATTACAAACAACTTCGAATAAAAATGGCCGAAAATTAACTCCTAGTTATATGAATATCATATATTCCACATTACGTAGATGGAATCCTTCATTAACTGTTAAAATTAGTAAGCTTGGTTTCTCACGACGGGGTCGTTTGGTTATAGATAATCCAATGAACAATATTGAAATAATTGGTTTAAAAGAGTTGATAATCACTATCTTTAGATATGCAGTGACATTTAAAGCGGTTAATTACCTTAGAGTACCATCTCGAGCTACTATTGATACTGCTATAGCTATGATATTGATCCTCATAACAAATTTGAGTTTTAATCAACTGGTTAAACTACGTGTTCGTGACTTGAAAACAATTGCACATGACAATTCTATTTCTATAACTATAAAATCAGGAAATTCTGCAGTTAAAGTAAAAAAAATGGCAAACTTATACAACCCACTGTTCATTTGTGTCGTTAACATGGTATTAAGCCGCGAAGAGTTCATGAAACGAAATTTTATTAATAATGTTGATGTTAAATATAATCGTGTCAATATTTATGATTACAATGATGAAGATGAAGATTATTGCGATCGGATTAACGTTAATAAGATCGATGATGACGATGTACGAGTGATTTCTTGTAAAAAAGATTCCATTAATAAAACAATTCACGAGCTGTATATGCGATTTCATAAAAAGAAATCTACGATTTCATTAGGAATAACACTCATAGAAAAAATGAAAAAAATTAAGAAGATTAAAGATGATCTGATTGATACGGAAAAGATTTTGAGTCTATTATCTGAGACTAATGATGATAAAGAAGAGAGTGAATCATCAAATGCAATGGATATATAGCGATTTTATTATGAAATTTTTATTTTTAGAAAACTTAAAGAATTTCTGATTCGTAGATCTTTTCATAAATTATCAAAACACTTTTTTTTTTACTAATAACTCTATAAGATTTATTTTTAATATAAAAAGAGATGAACATATTACACCTTATGGACACACTCTAAAATAGCTTAGTGTTAAATCAAAAAGGGAATACTTTCTGGCTTGTCTGACGTATAAAATCTTGGAAACTGGTGAACCTAAGTTCTTGCGACTCTTATTTACAGATGAAGAACTGCCGTGGTAGCCTAGCGGTTGTTAAGGCGTCGAGACATTGGTAGCCCTGGACGGGGTGGTCGTGGTGAGTAGCATAAAATAAAAAATTTGCTATTTTCTATCAATTTGTAATATTCTCACAAATTTGATGTATATACATTAGAAATTAACTTTTTTTTTTTTTTTTTTTTTTTTTTTTTTTTGAAAATTGTCATTGAATTTATTGAAAAAATTACTCTGAATAATATAAAAATCATAATGTAAACTTTTTATGACTTATCATTAAATGTAAATAATGGAAGAATTTCAATTATTTGGATGAAAATTATTAAAAATAATTATTTTTTCTTTCCTCTTTCCTCTTGATACCAGGAGATTAAACAGGCTTGCGGCAAAAAACAATAATATGTTCAAAATGCCAAATTTTTCTACCATCGTTTATGAGCATTCGTTTTTGGTGTCAGCTATTCGTCTGTGGCAGGAATTACCAACAGGAATTACAAATTCATCGTCACTTCAAATTTTCAAAAAATAAAGCATATGAATTTTTTATAAATAAAGAAGCAAACTCTTGACAATTTATTATGTTTGCAACCTCTTAGTATTTGAATATTACATATACTATTATTTATCTGTATAAATTTATATTAACCTTGCATAATATCGTTTAAATTATGTACCTTTATGTATTACGTTATTTCTCTTTCTGTTCACTTAACATAGAATTATTTTCCTAATGTTCTAAATATACATAAATAAATTATAACTATCAATTGTTAATTGAGTTATATGACTGTAAATTAAAATCATGAATTTTAATAATTCATGATTGAATTATTATAGCGACTGTTTTATTAAGAGATTCGGTAGAATTTTTCCGGGACATGCCGGTGAGAGTTGCTATCGTAGACAGGTCGATGTTCAGAGGATTTTGGAGGATGGAGTATGAGTATGCGTATTAGGGCGTGCCAAAATGTATCTTCCTTGATGGACCTTTTAAAATTGGAATTTTGAGTTCCACTTTTAACAGGAGTTACGTTTGGGCATTTCCTGTCATATTTTGAGCGTAAAGGATTTATTTGATTTTTATAGAATTTTTTAACAGGAGTTTTGTTCGGCTAAATTTTGAAATTTTTAAATTCCAGCAAAAATGGCCGAACGAAACTCCTGATAAAAATTTCTGTAAAAATCAAATAAATCCTTTACGCCCAAAATTTGTCAGGAAATGCCCAACCACAACTCCTGTTAAAAGCGGAACTCGAAATTTCAATTTTAAGAGGTCCATCAAGGAAGTTACATTTTGGCACACCCTAATGCGTATATCTTGGATGCATTTTACTTTGGTGGATGATGGTGGATGTACTGTTGAGATTTGGTGTCTCTGAATCAGCTGATTATTGGATATCATTTGTAGATGAATCCTTTAGATTTGTTCCGGGTTAAACTTTCTTCCAGTGTTTCAATATCAAGAGTCTTGGTGACTGGGTTGTTGGTGATTCCCGAAGATTTTAGAATGTAGCGGTCTGAGAGGTCCTTGAGTCTAATTTTTAAGGGAATTTCATGACCTTCTGCCATCATGGAGTTAATTGGAGTCGATACACGGAGGCCCATACATGTTCTTATAGCCTTATTTTGAAGTTTTTCAAGCTTGTTGAAAAGTTTACTGGAAATTACATTCATTTCGTGGCTTCCGTATTAGATCTTGGTCCTAATTAATACTCTGTAGATATTGAGGAGAGTTGTTGAATCAGCCCCCCCATTTGGTTCCGCACATTGCTTTGATAAGTGGAATGACTTTGCTTATTTTCACTATTAGGTTGTCGTAGTGGTCAGTGTTACGGCCTCGCGTAACTCATGTAGATCTTTCTGTTATTATCATTATTATCTCTTTACAATGGGAATATGTTAATAAATTTATGCCATCCCTCTTTCACACTTGCTCACCCCTACTCTCGGGACTTTAGACTATATCGTATTTTCTCAAATAACCTAGCATCAATTCGATGAACCTTGTCTACGATAAATAATCATATGCTGGTAAGGTAACCAGTCTCCTCAGTAAAGATACCACTAACCATCAAACATATAGGGTGTTAGTAGTAATAGTCATGAGAGATCGGAGCATTTGTATTAGTGAAAAGGCGACACGTGTAATACCCCACTCCAGCTACTGAAATAATGTACCGCCTCTCATCCGATATACACCCATCGAGTCGGCTGTTGAAAGAGACTGCAAAAATTAAGTATGCGAGCGTTCAGCATCTCGTACCACAAAACCTATTCAAATAACACTGAGACTGTAAAAATTAAGCATGCGAGCGTCCGATGTAAAAATTAGGCAATTTTTAATCCGTTCTTTATTTAACTTATACTTATATCAGACCACTTGAAAAGAAATAAAATCCGAAGCGAGGGGACACGTGCCAGAATCCGGCATCCTAACGTCCCATGAGAACAACAAAACTCTTGCCACTCTGGTTATCAGACTCAAGATTTTTATGTTTTTTTCGACATCCGCGTCGTTAAATTAATAATAAAATCTCCGACAAAATTCTTATCGCGTCCTAATTTAACTTATTTAGGGGACCACTTATACACACCTATCACGAACTAAAAACTCACATATTGGAATCCCAACGGAGCGAAACCGTAATTGTCAAAGGGGTCGAGGGGGATAGCTAAAGTTTTAAAACATATTGAAATCCGATGATCAATTCTTAGTCGCTAAAATTATTTGCCACGGTTGCAACCTTTTCCCCATTTATTTCTCGATAATCTAACAATTTATTCCACGTCGTTTACTCAAAAGTTAAGTTATTGTTGTTTAAATTCAAATTAATAATCAACCGGTCAATTAATTATCAGTGTAAATTCAAAGGAGTTGCGTAAATTAAATAAAACTTCAATTCAAAATAATCAGTGTTAAAATTCTTTCTTTTTTTGAGATAAACCCTCAATTGTTTATCATTATCCATTAATTAAGATAAACCTAACTATAAATTATAACAGTCAAAGAAATTCATCTCAACAAGGGCGGTTGTTTTTCTTCAACACCACATCTACAGTTAACAGGTATATTTCTTTTTATATCTCTTTTAACTGTCCTTACCACATCTGCTGACCTAATCCAAGTAATGACCCAGTTTTAATCACTTACGCAGTGCGTAGCTTCGTGTAACCCTGACATACAATTTTTCATAGGCGCGGTTCCCGCCTCCCGAGACATATAATCTTGAGTGATTAGTCTCAAATTTAAATTAAAGAACTGTTATTATTGTTACGTTATTAACATCAGGACGTAACATCAGTGAATCTCAGTCTTTGATTCAAGATGATGTCCAGAAATTTTGCTGTGGTGGATATTCTGATAGTTGTGTTCTTTATTGTAAAAAAGATATTTTGTACATCGAGATCATTAGGTGTAAATATATGTTTAGTTGGAATAGCAATGATATTGGTATCCACCCCTACAGTGACAGTCACAGGTCATACTGTACATATCATTGTGGAAGGGGTTTATGATCCTATCGGGCCCAAGCCAGAGGACCACTGCTAATACAGTTAGTCTCAAGGATCCCTCCCTAGTAATAACATTGTGACCCATACTTAACATTACTTATTCTCAACCATTTATATTATTCATACTATTGTAAACAACAGTTAATAAACTCTCACTCATTATTAAACTTTATCGCTGTGTCTTCTACTATAAAGCCAATAATATAACTATTTTTGTTTTATCAGGAGAGAGTTGGAGGTTTAGTCTTTCTAAGTAGACGTTGTAGTTGTCTAGAGAGACCTGGAGGGCATCTTGAAGGCATCTATAGCATATTGGAGGCTTCTACATCTTATAACTTTGTCATATGCAAATTCACCTATGCTACTGGAGGTATGGATGTGGTAGACGCCATCTGCTGTATAGAGTGTGAACAGTAAGGGGGCTGATACGAGCCCTTGTCCCACTCCAGAGTTTACCAATTCCGGTTTTGTTAGCCCGTCGTTAGTAACGAAGTATACATTGCGCTGTTTAATTAAGAAGTAGAAAAAGAGACAGTACGTGGGAGGAAGGCCTGTTTCTATCATGATTTAGAGAAGAATGTCTGGGTTGACGTGGTAGAAGGCGCCTTTGATGTCTAAAAAAGCAGTAATAGTATATTCTCCTTGAACAAAACCGATGTAAATTTTGCCGATGAATATTACCAGGTTGTTCGCGGTGCTTTTACCTGCTCTAAAGCCGAATTGTGTGTCAGGGAGCTTAGATTAGTGTTCCAGCGACCACGTAGTTCGATCTACTATAATCCTTTCCATTATTTTGAGGAAGTAAGGCGCAAGAGTAATCGGGCTGAATTTTCCTGTGTCTCCTTTAGGTAATAAGTAGATCAGGTATTCAGTCCATGCCGTAGGATATTTCCTGAGTCTAAGGAAGTTGTTATAGCAGTCAAGAATCTGTATGTCTTATATGCTCTGAGAGGCAGTTTATAATGTCATAGCTAATTTGGTCTAGGCCTAGGCTTGTTCCCGCTTTGCTTCGGATAATGGGAGAGCTTCATTTTGTTAGTGTGATCGATGAGACTGGGAAGTCCTCAGCTACGGGCTGGGTAACATTCGAGTCTTGACTAATTACTTGTTGAGCTACCGAGTCGTATAAAATGATATTTAGTATCTATATGTTTTGTTCTGTTGCTAAACTTATTGTTGGTAGTTAGTTGAATACAGCTTTGGTTATCTACATAGTGTATTAATTTCAAGGACTCTTATTTTATAATATTTTTGATAAGATAACATCCAAATCCCTTCATGACAGGCTTCACCTAATGCGATATATTCTGCTTTAGTTGACGATAGCGCAACGCGGCACACCCAGTTTATACGTCTGCCCAATAGAAAATAGACATAACGGCTGTGAGATTTTCTTTCGATGCTGTATCCCGGGCCAATCAGCATCAGCGTAACCTTCGATTGATTCGTTGTCGAATTTTCTGCCTAATAGCTTCAGTTTGTAGTCCTTCCTTCCCATTAAGTACCGCACGATTCTTTTACCTTCAGCTTACTCAGATTGTATTGGATTCTTATTGAACTGACTTAACGTCACAATACTAGTTGTTGTATCAGGTCTTGTGATGGTTGCAATGTACAACAAAGATCCTATAAGCTGCTGGTAATTCTCCATCATCTCCATCTGTTTGTCATTGGTTTTTGCTTTGATGTAATCGGAATCTAATGGTATTTTAAAATAACAGGCATCTTGAATTTTTAAACTAGTTGCAATTTATCATTATAATTCGATTAATTCATATAATAAATACCTCTGTTTCTTATCACTTGGACTCCTAGATGGTGATTTATAACTCCTAAATCCGTTATAGGAAAACGTTTCATAAGACTTTTTGCAATCCTTTCTATAACTTCATTTGTCTTCGCAAAGATAAGGATGTCGTCGACATACACAATGACGTCAATTTGATCTTCACCCATCGTTTAAATGGAAAGGACAGATTTGAATGAGATGTCAGAAAATCATGATATTGTTTTAACAAGGTATTTTCTTCAAACGTTATTAATTGATTTTTCTGGTATGCGTAAGATACTTTGTGGTTCCGTTCGGTGTTCAAGCAGCAGAAAAACGTAATCAATTTTTCAACAACGTCTTTCAAGCTGTTATTACAGTTGATAGCTTTTTAATTGTGCTGTGACTTTAATCTGTTTTTCGTACTATTCAGAAAATTTCCATGTATTAAGGTGTCATTTAATGACCACTCATTTCCAATTCGATTTTCAAAATCCGGGTCAAAACCAGTAACACCGATTTTTTGAAAATCATTGATTTTCATTGCAGGAACTCAAGAAGTTAAAAATGAAGTAAAACTTATAATTGTGGAAATCCAAACTGATTAGTTATGGATAAAAGGTCATTTGAAAATTGAAACATTAATTATTACATAGGCACAAAATTAATAAATATTTTTTTAATTCAACACCTAGCAAGTATTTAACAAATAACAGCTGTCAACCTGGGTGAAAATCGACTTCATTGCATGTCATTCTGAAGCCTAACTTATCCATATTTCATTGATAAAGCAGGAAATTTTATACTTGGTGATAATCTGCATGCATGTCTGCGGGTAACTGTTGCGTTCCGGATTATGTGCAGTCACTAAGATAGATGTCAGTTTGCTATTAATTAGTTATTGCCAATAACTTATTGGGTTTGGTAACCAATTTTCTTACTGCAACACCAACTGACAGCCAGCCCTTTCCCCGCATGGAAAAATAAATATGCGAAAAATATATGCAAATATATATTTTCACATATATTTTTTTTGCGCTAAATATATGTCCGCATATATGTTCACATATATGCGCGCATATAAATGCAATATATATGTCTAGAAATAGACAGAAAAAAATTTAACTTGAATCAAGTAAATAATTTTGAAGAACTTAACTTTCTTGATTTAAGTAAAAAAATTCTCAAACTGAGAAAATTTTTTTTCATTGTATGCTTACATATATGTCTACATATGTTTTAGCATATATCTCTGCATATATGTCAGCATCTATGTGAAAAATATATGTTGAAATATTTTTTTTTTGCGTAAATATATGCGACATATATTTTTAACTTATATATTTCTCCACGCGGGTCTCGAAAAGTATTAGTTAACTTTCAGTAGTTACTGTTACCCTAACATCGTTTATAATTTTTCACTGAATAACAGTTGTATACAAGTTGATGAAAATCTACGGCCGCAGTTTAAATGCAAGTTAACATCAATCTTGTAGTTCTCGCATATCATGTCATATTTTCAAATTGCATAATAGCAAAGTCAACATAAATGAAACTCTTGGTTTATAAACTCTTGACTTTACATTAAGTTGGCTTCAGATTGCAGATACAAATTGATAGCAACTTTCAGTTAAGATAGCTTGAGCCATGGTATGTCAACAAATTAACCAATAACCCAACATAATGCCCTCGACCTTATCGATGTTCTTAGTAAGTTTGCTGTAATTCATCAAGAGATGTCGTTACATAGTTGAACAGTAAAATTTTATTGTAATGCTATTCAAACCGATAGCATGCATGTTTTCTTCTTCGACGCAAATGTTAAAAATTTTCAAAAATTGTCAACAAATAGCCTTCACCCAAGCCTATTGAAAGTTCTGCTTTATCCTTTATGTTTTCAATCACTAAAATCTGTTAAATTGCTCTCTATATGGTATTCATTCAAATTGCAATAAACAATTTCAAACAAACTCTATAGAAATACCTTTAATGTACCATTATGAATTTACATAAATGTAAATTTTAAAATTTTCAGTTACACTGAATAAACAGATTAATTCAAGACCGCTATATTATACGTTTTAACTGTATGTATTTAAGAAAACATCGACATAATGAAAAATAAATGCGGGTATGTACTTATCAATGCTTACTCTCACACGATTCGACTTTAATCTCAAAGTACACGTGCATACTCATTTTTCGAAACATATGTACGTACTATTTATCATATTAGCAACATAAGTAAGTTGCAGTTGCACCGGGAAGTACTTAACCATTCACATCGCGACATATCAGTAAGTACGAAGTATCCATCAGGAAGGTGGTGTGCTAAGTTGGTGTGTCGTTGAGCCAGATCGGTATTTACGATTCAAGAGAAATCCTTCTTCAGCTAACAACTCTCATCGTCGTGTCTTGGTCCGTCAATCCGTTATAATTTCTCCGCTAATAGAATCCAAGATTTCGTCACAGCTCCGTGAGATGCATCACTAAATCAAATGGTTAATACCGCTTGATACTTCTTAATGGTTGTTAACATAAAATCTACATCTAATCATATCTGGAATTTCGTGAAATAACATTGGATTCTTTCTATTCAGTAGGTACAGTACCAATAAAATCACTGTAGTATCTTAATTTACGGATGCATTTGCTAATTGTTTACTTTTTCTTGTCTTGCGATTTACGTTATTGGCATGTAATCAAATTCACAAAATAAGGTAAGTTGCTTGTATGTAGACAGTATTGGAATGGGATATTTCTAATTGTTACAAGTAAAAGTATTTTGTTTAACGTAGAACATAATTTTATTTAGAAGGCTACTCGCGTGTATCTTCATCGTGGTCAGTGGTGCAATAGACAATTCCACGAAGAGACACAATAATGGCCACGTACACACAATCCATACTCTACTCTACTCTGTACATATAGTGTATCATTGTGGTTATCCCACTAGATTATTTTTGTTAGTATTTCCCTTACTATTTATTATATGTTAAAAGCCACCGTGTAGTTGTTAGTGTTCTCTATTATATAGTAGATTTACCATAAGGTAATAGCGCTTCGTCCACGCGTGAGACCGAGCATATCACACGTTCGCATATGTATATAACAAACGCGATAATAGTGTGTCACACATAACGCACGCCAAATAAGTTCCCTGTGAAATAATGTTTGGGAGAGGAAACTAACGGAATACAAAATTTTATCGGATTGATGGACAGTTGGCTGTTTAGCTGTCGACGTCTTATTTTCTGACATATATGCGACAGTATTAATGTATACATCTATATGTACACAAATAATAGGAGAAAACGTCGATTACTTTGGTTACGGCGCCAGAGAGACGTTTATTACGAAATTTGTTTCTCTTTTGTTAAAAAAAAATAACTTAGTATATACGTAGGTGGTATGACGAATTTTAATCACTGAAAGTCAACTTTTATTTATAAATATATAATATATATTATACATATCTATCTATCTAAAGAGAAGATGAAATCATTGAAATATACAATTGATGTCCTCTATACCATAATAAGTAATGCTATTTATACAATAATGGTAGCACGTTATGGCTTGGTAATCCTCCTTGATATGGCGTCTCGCAATCCTGATTATGTATTATTGTCTTATTGAAACGCATATTGACTATTATCAGCAAATCCGCCTGCCCATATTCGTACGGACAAACAATATTGTCTCTGTCACGTTTTTTTATTAACTGTCGGGATGTTCGTGGTTGGTCATCGCATCATCTTGGACGAGTCTTGAGACCAAGTTTGGCAGAACAGCTCGATGGTGACGACGATGCCAGTGGCATTTATAAAATCGTATAATCCATAGGGCCAATCCATGTACATCCTACTATCTACAGTAAAGTATCCTTTCTTTTTTTTGCATTCAAAGGATGCTATTGTGAATGATGATGATAATTAGCATGATGACAATAATGATGGTTAGTATAAAAATATTGATGATCATGATCATGATAATTAGCATGAAGATATTGATAATGGTGATGATGATTAACATGATAGTCATGATGATGGTGATGAGCATGATAATTGTAGAGATGTTCAGGATCCAGATACTGCTGTTAATAATGATGATGATCAGCATGATGAATGATGACCATAAAGATGATGAAAATTAAGATATTGATGATGATGACATATAAATTGTTTAAGCAAATATACCAATGAAGAAATCGTTTGGATAATGAGTATACGAGAAAACACTCAGGTATTTGATGTAAAGTCGACCGGGTTCCCAATAATTGTGCCGATAACCTGCAATACAGCTTTATAAAAGAGAGTGCGTTTGAAATATCTACGAATATCCAGCCAAACTGTACATACACACGACGAAACATGGTTTGAAGTTCTCCAACCAAGTCCCAAGAAGAGAAGATGTTACGTGCCCGCACCTACTCCGTGTCATGAATGTAAAATAATTACATCGATCGGTTCGGCTTTTCTCTTACTGTGCAGCTGAAGAGGATTGAAGGAAAAGGTAATGTCCCCCGTTTTTATTGTTCATCACCATCACCCACACTTGTGTACTACTTAACAATTATACTACACGGAAGCCTTTATCCGTAAAGTTAAATATCCATCCCCCTTGTTCATGAACGTAAGCACGTACAAATCGTGTCCTCATACACGTACCAACTACCAAGCCTGCGCGCAATCATGGACACCCACAGCTTCACCTCACAATCTAACCAGGTATCGTGGTTAGCCCCAAAAATACTTCAACTGTATTATATTTATTCATTATCAATCTAAAATTCTACAGTGTAGACATATGTTTCGTATGATTGTGAGTTGAAATAATTATCGAACCCAATATCGAAAAATAAATTGAAAAGAATCGTCTTTCAAAGCTCTCTGGTATCCGGATGTGAAATCTCAACTTGGCCGATTTCTCCAGACGATTGGTTGGATATATCCGCTTGGATGGATCTACTGTGTACTCACGCACACTACATCCTACATATATAATATATATACATATACACATGTACATGTACATTTCTAACGTACGTCCTGTAGCCGATGACATAAAAAATGCACGACATGTACTCTATGTAACTGTATAGTGTACCAATCAATGGAGAACAGTACCAACGAGCACTGCCATCAATAATGATGATCAATCAGCCATCCATTTTATTTTATTTATT